AAGACCACGCCAAACCCCACTTTGGAAGAGAACGGGGATTTCTGGGGGCCGGTCTGAGAGGTGAGGGGAAATACTGCACACAGACTCCCTCTCTCAGCACAGAGGTTTCTCATAAGGAAATAGAGAGAAGCTATGAATTCGATGAAATTTCATGACTGTGGAGAGCTCACATCATATCATACATCGTGTGTTCCCACAGGAGGAGGGACCCAGCCCGGATCATGCACGTGGACAGGTTTCTGTTGTAACTCAGACTCCACACGGGACGAACCTCTAACTGGAATGAACATGATAGCCCCACCGTGCCCCTCGGTCCTCATCTCAGACCCCTGCTGGGGGCCCAACCACACGGTGACTTCTGAGTCCTCTGCCACCTAGCTGGGCAGAAACCTTGCAAACTCGAGGGTACGACCCGTCAGGCCCCCCTGGACGTCAGAGAGCTCACACTGGGAATATTTCAATTCCAATCTTGCATCTGTCTCCTCCCCACCTACTCAGATGCTCCTTAGCTATGTGACCATATATTCTGGGCTCTTGGTGATGCCCAAGTCAGCTCAAGCAGTCTGCCGACATTCACCAGGTGCTCCTGGTGCGACTGACTTCTAACTGCAGCTGGGCACGCAGAACGCGGTCGGAGCGCTCCAGACGTCTGTGCCCTCCCAAGTTCCATGCAGCAAGCTGAAGGACCCCAGGGCTCAGGACGTACTTTTATCCGTCCTTCCGTGATAAGGGTGTGACTTTGCCGGATGGAGGATGTAAGAAGTGACAGCCGGCTCCCTTTACGGGTAGGGCCGAGTTTAGATCTCCAGGGCAGTGAACCCCCCAGAAGATGGACCGACTGCACGGCCTGGAAGGAACACCTCTGACCGGGAAGTGCCAGCCTGCAATTTTGGGGGAAGAAAAAATGCCCAGATAAAACTGCACACATGCCCTGGCAGGTTTCTCTCAGTGGTCAGAGCATTGGCCCGGGCACCAGAATCAAGGGTTCTATTCCCAGTCAAAGGCACATACCTGGGTTGCAGGTTCGATCCCCAGCCCTGATCGAGGTCATGTAGGAGGCAACCAATCAATGTGTCTCTCTCACATTGATGTTTCTCTTTCTCTTTCTCTCTCCCTTCCTTCCATTCTATCTAAAACTCAATGGGAAAATATCCTCAGGTGAGGAGTAAGAAAAATAAAAGTAAAAACCTGCACACGTGTGAAGGATACCAGGTGTGACGAAGGAAGACCGTGAGCATCGAGGGACTGATCCGTGGGCAGAGAGAACAGGAAAGTGGAACGGGAACAGGCCTTGACGTCACGTGTCTATACATACATGACCAAAGCACGGCTGTAAAGCTCACTGGAAATCGTCACCAAAGGAGGCAAACGCTCTCAGACAAGAGGGTGCTGTGAATGGGGTGATCAGCCGGAGCTCGGTGACGGGGGCTCGGCACCATGTCTCAGCACCCACTGCGTCACATGTCACGTAGGGGCAGGGCTTTTCCACGTGTTGTCAGCGCAACCAGCGGGATGGACGTAGGGTTCGAATGCAGCGGGTTGGCTCTGCTGGCTGAGATTTAGTCTGCCTCTCTACCAGACTGGAGCTGGCCAGCAGAGGCCCAGAGAAATCCATACACCCGGGAGGGGTCCTTGCGGGGCCACCTCGGTAGGAAATGAAATGACAGTGGAGGAGACTGTCACCTAAGGCCGCGGTCCGACGCCGTTGTAAGCAGGCCGCGGACAGAACGGCGCAGTTGAACTCAGGGAAAACGCACAGACGAATGTCCTGCTGGCTGTGACTCCGGCTGTCAGGAAGGCTGTTGTCTGCATGTCCTCCCCCCACACTTGGGCTTCAAGGGAGGCAGAGGAATCCCAGGGGCAGGTGGGGGCCTGCACCGTGGCCGCTGGCAAAGGACCCTGCTTTCCACAGGCAGGCGGAGCGGGTGGGGTGAGGCGAGGCGTCTGGAAACAGGAAGGAAGCCTTGATGTCAGCGCATCACGCACATCAAAATTCTAAACCTGAGACTAGCTCGTGAGCACTTGGGAAAGAAGCCATCTGCGGGCCGCCGAATCGTACTGCCCCTCTGCAGGGCGCAGACGGTATCTAGATGTAGGGGAGCAGTTTCCAGCTCCTTCAACCCTGGCCTCTTCCGGTGCGTCTGTGCCCCAGGTTAGAAAGTGTACCAGCCGCATCCGCTCGCCGCTGCGTTGGCCACGGGGACCTGGTATGAGCCCTGTCACCAAGCAGACGTCAGGGAGCCTGAGCGACGTCCTGACCCACAGCCCACTTCCACGCGACGCTGACTCGGACCCCTAACCCGCGAGGCCTGCAGGACACAGGCCGGGGGTGCGGCCCCCGCAGGTCCGGCCGTGGCCCCGCGAACAGCTGAGCCCGGAGCACAGGGTGCCCACCGCATGTCTGCGTTTCCCTGGGAGAGACGGGAAGACAGAACCGCTGCTCTGCGCGCGTAACTGTTCGCAGAAGCTGCCAGGCTGCCCTCCTGCCCGCACCACACTCCCACCAGAGGGGACCGCCCGCCCACGCCCACAGCGCCACGTGCCGAGGGGACGTGATCCGACTGGAGGGTGTCCGGGAACGCAGGCCGCATGGTGGAGCGTGACATCCTCTGGAAGACTTCCTGTGTCGAACCCAGGACACAGATTTAAAGAGCGCGCGTGTAGACGAAGAAGTCAAGTTCTGTTTTGTCGTCTTGCGCGTGGTCAAGTTCCGCTCCCACGCACATCCAAGGCAACAGGGCGCCCTCGTGCCTGGTCTGAACGCCAGGGGATTACGGTCCCTGAAGCTGCGCGTGACCTGAGTTACTTCTGTAACGACCAAGGGGCGAAATACCAGCTGAACAATCTACCTTTCCCAGCATCACTTTTGCCAAGAAGCCGACGCTGTCTCACAAGGTGATTGTAACAATGTAACAATTTCTTTACTCCTCCTCCCTTTGGACCCTGATGTCAAGATAACATGTACAAGATAACAACTGTTTAATAGCCAATTAACTGATAAAAAGAGGTTCAATCCCATCAGCGAACTACAAACAGAGACTGTTTTTATGTCTCAGGCTGGAACAGATAGAAAAGACTGATAAAAGCTTTTTGCACAGGTGTAGGGAGGCTAACAAGCTCATGCGCTGTTGGGTAAACGACAGGAATAAGCTTCCTAGAAACAAATCTAACAATCAAAGGAATACAAAGTGTGCACATGCCCAGCTCGGTTGTTTCTAGAAATGTATCCTAAGGAAATAATTATGGAATACACGCCTTGGCTGAGGACTTCCGTTATTCTATTCACTGACACTAAGACCTGGGAGCAATCTGAGCATCTGCCTGTGTTGTAAATCATGATGTTGGGTACAATGCAGCACACCCGGCTGATAAATCCTGGAGTAGACTGTGCGCTGGGTTGTAGCCCATTTGACCCTCCAGGTCTATTTTCACCCTTGACAACCCTGCCCTGTGTCCCTAAAGTGGCATCAATGAGCTCCCCTGTCCTCTGGCTTCTGGCTGGGTTGGCCATTGGAAGGCACTGGTTTCTCTCTCTCTCTCTCCCTTTCCACTCTCTCTCTAAAATCAATACATCAAAATAAAATAAAAAATAAATGAATAGTTGAGGAGATTATGCGATCTGAGTATTTCTTCCCTCTGTTTACCCCTGCTGAGTCACCATGGCCGTCTGTGTCCCTCTCCCAGGTCCTATAACCACACTCCCCTCAGCCCTAAGACCCAGGGGTGGTGACGGCTCCAGCCCCCCCACTGCTGCCATGCCTGGGATCCGCCTTCACAGGTCCCCCTAACCCTACCACAGCCCCACAATGCAGTTCCCTTCTGCCAACCATTATTGAAAGTTCAAAGACGAAGGAGCCCAGAAATGCAGCATTTTCACCCCAACCAATCCAAACGTATCCATCAAAACATATGCAGCAGTGAGTGGTCCGCAACAAGACTCAGCTGCACGCAGTAAGGTGCACAGAACGTGCTTCCGCGCTCGCTGGTGCCTGGTTTGGAGCAGCGCCGAGAAGAAAGGTGTCCAGCGGAGGGGGAAGGAGAAAGTGATCCATTACAGCACACGCCGAGTTCGAACAGGCCAGGACCCACGACAGCCAGGGGTTCGCTAAGGCAGTAAGAGCGCACACGGGGGAATGGCGACTACCTGAGCTCAGTACAGCAGGGGCCTTACCTGCCTTATTTCCACGCACCTAAAACAGGGCCTGGGACAAGGCACCTGCTTAATAGATGTGGTGAGGACGTGGGCAGGCCACGCCCACGAGGAAACTGTTGCAGAGCATGGATCTAACGAAGGAATATTGTCTGGGAGGAGTGGAGAGTCCCCGCAACACAACAGTGAAAGACGAGCAGCCCCAGACAGGGCCCTGGTACAGAAGACCCAAGGGATGCTCAGGCAAACAACCCGACTCGGATGCAAGAATGAACCCACCACCGTTCCCACCCTCGTATTCACCCACACTCTGAACAGAGTGAGAGATTTGCTGAACATTTTACGAGAGGCATTCATCAGCATATAGACAAGCCCGTTGAAAAGGAAAGTTGATGCTCCGGCTTGGTGGCTTGGTTGGTTGGAACATCGTCCCATACACCCAAAGGTGGAGAGTTTGATTCCTAGTCAGGACACATACCTAGGTTGTGGGTTTGATCCCCAGTTGGGGCGGGTACAGGAGGCAACTGATCAATGTTTCTCTCACATTAATGTTTCTCTCTCTCTCTCTCTCTCTCTCTCTCTCTCTCTCTCTCAAACCAATAAAAACATATCCTTGGGTGAGGATTTTTTTTAAAGAAATCTGATATAAAAATAAATATTTCCTTCTATCCGTTAATCAACTCTCTAAAAAAATAGGCAATAATAACTCACACACACAAAAAAACTGAGTTACATATAATTACCTTTTTGTTTCATGGCCCTTTAAAAAATATAAAACAATAAGTATTTTGAAAAACATTCACAAAGTAATCATTTAGCAGCCACAATAGGACAGAAATCAAGTAACACAGAATGGAATGCAGAACAAAACCACCTGTGCTAACCTCTGCCCAGGGCACCTGGGGTGGCCAGCCCTGTCATATTCCATTATCAACCATCACAACACCAGTCCCAGGACCTATTCCCAGGCGATCACTCATGTATACCTGCAAGGCACAGCTGTCTGGTCAATGTCCTGAATTAGTTCCATGTTTTCCTTTTCCTCTGGAAGACACCTTCAGAGGCAAGGTAGGACAGGGGAGACCACAGAACATAGCACATGACCTGGTCAGCCCCTCCCGGCTAGTTCTAAGACATAAGAAGGACAAAGACATGGGCCGTACTGGACAGTGCAGTAGCCACTGGCCACTTGGGACTGTGTAGATTACTCAGAAATGAAATAAATGTTGTTTATACATTAAATGCCACTAGAATCGCCTTCCCCGGCCACACAGGTGGACAGTGCATACAGGGAACATTTCTGTCACCACAGCGAGTTCTCTTGGACAGCCCTGGTCGTGGGAAGTGTTTCTTCCCCCTTTGCTTAGCCAGGGTGTAGGCTGCTTGTGGAAGCAGCTTTGAGAAGCAATTTTTCTCCCAGAATATTCCTAGATTGGCGGTGGAGTCACAGACGGGGTAGAGTAGCTTTCTTTACAGAGAATGCCCTCCCCTGTGCGTGAAAGGGAGGATCCCCGTCCGTATGGGATCAAATACACCAAGTAGACTCCTCCCAAAGCCTGTTGGGAAGACGGGAGGAGATAAATGAAGCCAATGGGGGAGTGGCCCGGAGGGGACCTTCTCCATCCCACATCCACACGGAGGTCATGCCCGTGTCAGTGCAGGTCCCCTGGTCCTTCTCCGGAAGGGAGCCGGGGGCAGCCCTGCCCCGTGCTGGTGAGAAAGCCTCGTGGCCGGCACGTTGCCGGCTGTCTGGCATCAGCTCCTTACAGCTGCGCTCTGTAGCCAGGGCACACGCGGCGAGTGGTTCGTCCTGCAGCCACCATCATCATCCTCCTTAGCAAGAGAACGCAGCCTGGCCCGAGTGGCTCGGGTGGCTGAGCGTCGTCCCACGCACCGAAAGGTTGCCGGTTCCATTCCCCGTTTGGGGGCACAGGCGGGGGTTGCAGGCTCGACCCCTGGTGGGGGGTGTGCAGGAGGCAGCCCATCGATGTTTCGCTCTCACATCGATGTTTCTCTCTCTCTCCTTCCCCTCTCTCTAAAAACCAATTTAAAAATCGTTAAAAAAATAAAATAAGAAAGAGAACTCAGACTTTCGTAGAAGGCAGTTTTATGTCCAGCCACAAAATCTCCATTTCTCAGGCAGCTTTGCAGAGAGCCGTCGCCAGGGACACCGTCTGGCCGAGGAGACATAAGCCGACACTGCTGGGCGGCCGAGGGAGTCTTGAAAGGGGGGCGCACTCACGTCGGCAGGTCCTCTGGCCTCCTCTGTCTTCTCTCGGGGAACCTGAAGGAAAAGCCAGGGAGCCTCAGGGGCCATCTTGACCTGACGTCTGTGAGCTGCTGCAGCAACACAGCGGTAGCCTCCCCCACCTCCTCCTTCCAGGACAACACGACCCCCCTGCTGTGTCCAGGCCACTGTTCAGCCCAGCACCTTCGAGAAAGCCGTCCACCTCGATGCCCAACAGGAAAGCCAGGTTTCCACCTGAAAGCACAGAGCACCTGTCCTGAAGCGTCTCACACAGTCGGTAAGTTCAAGTTCAGGTCACTCCGGGGTCACGCAAACAAGACAGAGCCCGCCCACACCTGCGCAGCCCGAGCGGGCGGGGCGGCGAGGCTGGCTGTCGAAAACAGCTGCTCCAAAGGAAAACAGCACTTTGGGCTCCGTCCATCAGGAAGATTTGTGAGTGCCTATTACGTCTGATGACTTAAGCAGAGGCCGGGCCCGTGCTTACCCAAACTCCGACACCGTAAGACGTCCGCTGCTCTGACCATGAATCAGATCATTACTTAATGTATAACTTCATGTCCTTTGTGTAAACAATGTAAGACACGGGGAACTGAAAATGTGTTTCACTGACTCAAACAAGAATCAGCACCGAAGATCTCCCACTCAACCTTCCCCCGTGAGCGGCCAAACGCCGGTGCTGATTTCTGACTGGTCCGCGTTTTCCTTGTGGATGTAGCACAAGTGCCTCGGCGGAGCTGTGGAAATCGAAAACCAAGCCCAGTGCTGTGAAAAGGGTTTTCCACGTCCGACAGTAGCACCATGGGTGTCCTCAACAGCCCTGGGTGAGCAGGTATGAGGTAGGAAAACACAAGCATCCCCCACTACCCTAAACGGTTTAAACATTCACGATGTTTGACATTTTGGCCATTTAAAAGAATTTAACTATTGCACTTATTTTGAAACTACAGACAAAACTGGAACATGAAATGTCAGGCTAAAAATGGGAAACTGCAAATTTTTCACTCACCTCCTTCCAAGTTTCCACCCCTGCGAGGGAGCCACACAGATCCTGGCTGGGCGGGTTCCAGCTAACATTTCTGTTCCGCGTCGCCGGGGTGAGTCTTCTCTCCGATTCTGGGAAGCCAGCCCTGCACCTCGGCGGTGCCCTGCATCTGAGCTTCCGACCTGGAGTCTGCTCCACTCAACATTTTAGATTTTGCCGGGGGCAAGGGGTGGCCGTCACCGTCAACACCAACACGAGGCGGGTTTCTCTCAGGAACTGCAGATTCGCTGCACTCGCAAACGTGGTCGTCAGGGAGACCATCAGGGTCCCCCGAATACGGCTGGGGGTCATTTTAAACAGCTGAAATGCAGCAACAGTAATGAAATAAGAACACTTAAAGTAAAATACTAGCATTATATAATAACCAAATTATGGCCCATTTCCTTATAATGTAAGAAATTCAACTCAGCTTCTAACATTGCTAAAAGCTTTTTATTGGAAATAAAACATAGGGATCTTCTATAATCAGGTTACATGTATATAATGGTCAGTTATTTGAAATGTGCCTGACTTTTCGATGTTTCAATCTGAGTTCATTTGTACACCCTCTTGGAAATGGGGCGGTGACTATCAGGACCAGGGTGTGGCCAGGGGATGGAGCGACCAGGGTGTGCAGCCTGGACCCTGGACCCTGTGGCAGTCAGAGCCTTTGATCAAGAATGTACACAGGCAGTGCCCTGGCTGGTGTGCTCAGTGGTTAGAGCATCAGCTCACACACTGAAGGGTCTTAGGTTCAATTCCCAGTCCAGGGCTTGGGCCTGGGTTGCAGGTTCAAGCCCTGCCAGGTCAGGGTGTGTGCAGGAAGCAAACAATAGATGTATCTCTCTCACATTGATGTTTCCCTCTCTCTTTCTCTCCCTCTCTCTCCCCCTCTCCCTCCCTCCTTTCCACTCTTTCTAAAAAAAAAATCAATGGTAAAAAACATCCTCATGTGAGGGTTCACAAAACAAGAGACTGTACCCAGGCAACGAAAACGAGTTCAACGGCACCTTCTAATTTGGGAGACCAGTCCATGTTGGGTTCTGGAAAAACAATGACCAAATTATTGACAAGAAAAGGAGGCTGATGGACAGGTGTCCAAGTTTCGAAAGCAGAGTCTCACAAACAAAGGGCAAGGCAGGGGACCCATGGCCCCAAGCTCTGGGAGCCAACGTGAGGAACCCCGGTTCCCAGGGCGTAGGGTTCCAGGTGGACAGTGGGTAGATGGGAACTGGGTAATTGACGGATTAGATGACGAGGTTACAAATGGCCCTGGGCACACGAGAGAAAGGCAGCTACTCCTTCAAGGGGAACTGCACCGGCAGAACCAGCAGGGAGATGGACTTAACACCCTGAGGGCAGCAAACTACTCCCCGAGTTCTCTGTGGTCTCCTGTCTAGAAGAGTCCATAGTTCCGCTCTGGTCACCAGTGGCTAGGTAGCACAAAGGATCACAAAATCAGGAAGTTGAGCAGGGAGTTAAAATAATTGCATCCTGGTTATTTATAAAGTATGCAGGGACTGTTTTCCATCCTTGTTAATGACTATAATTGCTAATTAACTACCTCGCACTCATCTTCAAACCCATATTAACCACAAAAGCTGTAAGTAACGCCTGCGGAAATGTCACCCAATTAGAGAAGTACTGTCCCAAGCCCAGGACAGAACCACCGCAGCTGATCGGCGGGAATGCCGGTCGAGTCCGACCGGAGCTCTGATGGAGACAGGTGTGCATACGTAAGTGTGAGAATTTGCTCGTGACATGACACTTAAAATAAACGCCTTACTTCATTAGCAACAGGTCTATTCTAGTAACATGAAACAGGAACTATGGGACAGTATCTGAATGTCTCTGGCCAAAAAACTTTCCCCATAACTACTCACCTCCGTGAGACTATTTTTTCCTTCCGTTGAATTATCACAATAATTGTCTCCCATTTCACTTCCATATTAACCACTTTGGCAATTTTTAGTATTTTGTTGTTTTTAGGTTCTCAATACGGTCTTTCTTTGTGCCTAAACATGAATCAGTAGTGTCAGTATCGCAGACATGACACAGACAGCTGAACCCGAATCTTCCCTGTTAAAGACAGATTGTACCTCACTGCCTATTTCAAAGTCAAGAACCCTCACACTTTTCCAAAAGAGCAGACTGGTGATTGAAATTGCAAGGACTTCCCAGCCCTGGCCCGGCAGCTCGGCTGGTCGTGGGCTGGATTCCCGGTCGGGGCGTGTACTGGAGGCGGATGATGGATCTCTCTCTCTCTCTCACATCCATGTTTCTCTTTCTCTCCCTCTCCCTTCCTCTCTCTTAGAATCAATAAAAAAAAATGTCCTTGGGTGAGAATTTAAAAAAAAATTTTTTTAAGTTGCAAACACTCCCCACACCCCATTCTAATTTCCAGAGTCCTCTCCCTGGACACTGATGCACTGAGTTAGGGTCCGACTGGCCCCTGTGGTCTCTGTGAGCTCACTGGTTCTGCACGTGGGAGACCTTCATCTCACTGCACCCCGTTCCTCCACCCCAACCTCCCACTTTCTTAAGACCCTGAGTTTAGCCGCGACCAGGGACACAGTGAAACCAGGGTGGTCCCCTGCTCACCATTTGTGGAAAACTCCCATCTCTGTGGCTCCTGCCCCGTGCAGGTCCCCGGGCCACCGGCTGTGGCTGAGGCCGGTCCTGGGCACGCCCTCCCCGGGCAGCAGCGTGGCCCCGGAGCTTGAGACCACAGAAACTGCGGGAAAAGCACCTGTAAGCTGAAGTGGTTACTTCCCAGATAAGGGTGCTCAGGTTGCACTGGAGAGAAGTCCGCTCCTTCCTGTCTGCCCCCGGCACATGCTCTGTCCTGTACCCTGGGATGACAGCCTCCTGTTCCCATCCTTTCCCTGTGGCCCCAAGTGCAAACAGCACCTCCCCCCGCCAGCCGGCTTCGGAACCCCAAAGGACTCACTCACTCAACCGCCCACAGTTCCAGGTTCTACACCCACAGGCACCAAGGGGGTCAATGGCTAGAATAGGAGTAGGGATTAAGGGAGGGCAGGATCCCCCATAAAAAAGGGGCCACTGACTCCTCTCTCCGGTCGCTGGGGTCTCACCCCGACAGCATCCACCAAAGCACACAGACCGTAAAGCAGCATTCGTGAGACTTGGAGTGTGCTCAGCTTCCTCCTGCCTCTGTCCCCAAACCCACGCTCGGTCAGGAATTCGGACATTCGGGCTGGCATTCGATTTTGTTTAGAATGGCTGCACTGAACGGCTGGAATGTCGCTGCCCACCCCTCGGGAACCAGCCAGAATGCAGTTGGACCTGGAAGAGCAGCAGGTGTCCAAGCCACCTGGCTCCAAAGGCCGACCTCCTGTTTCCTGCATCTCTCCCGCCCTCGAAAGGGGAAGGTCCATCCCTAAGGGCACCGGACAGCCCAGATCCGGCACCTGCTGCCCGGCACCCAGCGCGCACGGGCCTGAGCTGCCCAAGGCTCGGAGAAGCCGGCCAGTCACGGCGCCACCCAGCCCGACTCCCCCCCTGCACAGGAACCCACCTGCCCACGCGGCTGGCGGCGGCCCTCGAACCCCGGCCGCCCTGCCCACAGAGGATCCGGCGGGGAGCAGCCTGGCCCCAAGCTCGGCGCCCTCCCTCGGCCCCTCGGCCCCGCCTGGCAGGTCACACTTGCTGCTCGCGGGACAAGCTCCAGGGCTCCCGGCGCAGCGAGAGGCGCCCGGGCTGCAGCGCCCCAGTGGCGCCGGCCACAGAGCTCTGCAGCTGCTTGAGGAGCAAGAAGAGCAGGAGGCAGAGCAGGCAGAGCAGGAAGAAGAAGAGCGCCAGGTAGAGCAGGAAGTTGAGCTCCCACTCCATGCTGCAGGCGCCCCGGCCGTGCGCGCCCAGGTGCAGCGGGCGAGGGCGCCGCCTCGCTCCCGTCTCCCCCGGCCCAGCCGCCGCGAGCGCCCAGGGCTGGCGCGGTGCCTGCCCGGCTCGCCCAGCAGGCAGGGAGCCTCCGCCTCGCGGCTGGAGGGCCCCTCCTGAGCTCCTGGGGACACGTGCGGACTTGGCTAGGCGCCAACTTCAACCGGCAGGGACACCGGGGGAGAGGTCCAGGCTCAGCCTCCCAGGAGGTGCCGGCTGGTGTTCTGCTAATAATCTTTAGATCCACTCCCAACATCCAGTCCCTAGCCTCCTGTCTCCGCTAATTGCCTTCGCCACTCCCCCGTCCTGGCTTTTCCAAAGGGCAGACGAGGCTGAACCCAGGGACCTCCGGCTGCAGCCGCGCTGGCTTGCAGAGACCCCGTGCTCTGTCTGCAGGTCACAGAGGAACCCGCGACTGGAAAGCCTTTCTAAACGTGCACTGCACAAAGCTTCCCAGGGCTGCCTGGAAATGCAGTCTCTGGTCGGAAACAAACACAAGGCACGACAAACCACTGCACGCGGTCCTTTGAGTCCACTTTCTGGGGCAGAGAAGCTGGCCCTGGCTCTTCCCTGCAGTAGAGAATGGTGGCCCATGGCACAGAGGTGCCGCTGGGAAAGAAACCGGTTTACTTACTGCCCTGTAACAAATCACCCCAAACTTCATGGCTTCAAGCAACATGAACACCGGTCACCTCCCTCAGCTTCTGTGGAAAGAATCCGGCGACACTCAGCTGGGCGGTTCTGGCTTGGGGTTTCCCAGGAGGGGACAGTCAGACGCCAGCAGCGCCCAGGCCTCTGGAGGCCAAATGGGTTGGCTAGCAGTGCTGGTGGCTGTGGGAGGATGGGTTCCTGGCTCCGTCCCCAGAGGGCTCCCCCAGAGGCTGCCTGGGTGCCCTGGCCGCAGATGCTGGCTCCCCGGAGCGAGTGGTCCAGGAGAACCAGGCGGAAGCTGCAGTGCCCTCGCGGCTGCTTCCGAAGTCACACACACCCCTCTGCAGTGTCCTGCTTCCAGGGGAGCTGCACTGCTGGGGTCCCAGGGTGGGAACCCCGGGGGGCCCCCACTGCTGGAGTCCCAGGGCGGGAACCCCGGGGGAGCTGCACTGCTGGAGTCCCAGGGCAGGAACCCCGGGGGAGCTGCACTGCTGGAGTCCCAGGGCGGGAACCCCGGGGGAGCCCCCACTGCTGGGGTCCCAGGGCAGGAACCCCGGGGGAGCCCCCACTGCTGGAGTCCCAGGGCGGGAACCCCGGGGGAGCTGCACTGCTGGAGTCCCAGGGCAGGAACCCCGGGGAGCCCCCACTGCTGGAGTCCCAGGGCGGGAACCCCGGGGGAGCTGCACTGCTGGAGTCCCAGGGCAGGAACCCCGGGGAGCCCCCACTGCTGGAGTCCCAGGGCGGGAACCCCGGGGGAGCTGCACTGCTGGAGTCCCAGGGCGGGAACCCCGGGGGAGCTGCACTGCTGGAGTCCCAGGGCGGGAACCCCGGGGGAGCTGCACTGCTGGAGTCCCAGGGCGGGAACCCCGGGGGAGCTGCACTGCTGGAGTCCCAGGGCGGGAACCCCGGGAGGCCCCCACTGCTGGAGTCCCAGGGCGGGAACCCCGGGAGGCCCCCACTGCTGGAGTCCCAGGGCGGGAACCCCGGGGGAGCCCCCCACTGCTGGAGTCCCAGGGCGGGAACCCAGGGGAGCCCCCACTGCTGGAGTCCCAGGGTGGGAACCCCGGGGGGCCCCCACTGCTGGAGTCCCAGGGCGGGAACCCCGGGGGAGCCCCCCACTGCTGGAGTCCCAGGGCGGGAACCCAGGGGAGCCCCCACTGCTGGGGTCACCTCTGAGATCTGACTCCCAGCCCCCCCTTTGTCACACCAGTGGCTTTCCTTCCTTTGGGTGTGTTGCAAGGGTAGAAGATGAGCGGGATGTTGATGAGAACGTGTTTTTCCAGGTAAATGTCAGGTGCTACTGTTATTCTGTTATTGATTACTGCCCCAAGCTCCAGGGCCTACGCCTCTGAACCCAGCCTCTTACTGTGTGAGAATCGATGTCCGTCTGTCTCTCTGTCTGTCTCACACACACACACACACACACACACACACACACACACTATTGCAGTGCTGCCCTGGAGCTGGCTCATACAATTTTTTCCAAAAACTTCACACGTCATTGTTGAAATACAGCTATTATTAAAAATTAGATCATATAAACTTACAATTAAATAAATTATGCTAACAATAGTAATAAGTACTCAAAACTCATCATTTCCTAATTATTTCAGGAGGTACCACGATCATCTATGCCCTCGAGGAGGTCTGCACCGTCGGAGCTGTATGGCTGAAATACTGTTGTACAGTGGCCTGTTTCTGTCTGTCTTCCCAGCGGTGTTCAGATGCCGGTGAGCAGCCTCACGTCGGCCACCGTGGGAGCGTCTGCCCTGCAGAAATGTACAAACGCCACAGACCAGGGCCGGTGAGCGCACTGTCTCTCGTTCGCCACCACACCGCTGCGCGTGGTCACCGGGGGAAATGTGAAGTCTAACGCAGGAACGCGGAGCCTGGTGACTTTCTGGATGACCCAAATCCACCTCCATGCTAAGCACCACGTGTTCCTACGGGATGAATGAATTCTCCATTTATGTAAATCTTGGCAAGGGGATTGGTCCCGGTGACTGGTTTCCATGGCCACTTCCCGTAATGGAAACGAGGGGGCTGGTACACCTCTGACCCAGTCCTGATCCAGTGCTGGAGGAGAGCAAGCAGAGCCTCGGTCCAGGCCTGAAGCCTGGCAGTGGACAGAACAGGAGGCGACGCTTGGAGGTCAGGTGCGTCCTGGGGGCACAGGCCCTCCCAGAGCCAGACCAGGCCAGGGCATCCTTGGCTCCTGCCCTTTTCTGTTCTGGGAGCTGCCACCGGAGTCCCAGTGACACGGTACAGCAGGCACAGTGCTGACGGCAGCTTGCACGGGGCACACGGACTTACACACGTGCACACGTGAAGTACTCATGATCAACACAGTGTCTGGTAGAAGAGCATATACCACTCGGCACACTGCCATCCAGAAACCCGAGCCATCAAAGGATGGAAACAGAAGCACCCAGAGGTCAAGCACCGGCTCCAGGCCACACCGCCATCAAGTGGCAGACCTGGGACGTGGACCCAGGGAGTCCGGCGCCGGGGCCTGGACTCAACCCCATGACAGTCCCTCACGGGGAAAAGCACCCGTCTCTTGTGCGTAACCATCAGAGTAATGATCCTATTTTTCCGGACCTGAGGGAGATACATTTCCAGAGACACGCACCGTCTGCCTACAGACATCTCAGCTCCTTCCTTGGAGATGTCGAAGGTGGAAGCTCGGGCGAGCCAGGGTTTGCCTGCAGTGCCAGGGAGAGGCGGAGACGGCGGCTTTGCTGCGCTCAAACCTCGTCCGCCTTCCTGACCGTGACCCACGCTCTCCACCCAGCTGGGTGGCCTCCCCATCTTCCCTCGCAACAGAATCTGGATGAAATAATATTGCTGTAACAAAAATAACGTATGATGTTTATTAGATGCTCCCAGTGCTTCTTAGCCTCTGATCATATTTATACACCTCATTAAGATGGTCTGAATGTTAGTTTATGTGATTATAAAGACCCCATAGAAATAAGACACGTTCTTTCTCTGCCTAAATAGGCACAGGAATGGAAATCTACAGAAAAACGTTCAAGCATTTTAAAGGCAGGAAGGACACTCACTGTAGATAAGAGCGTGGCTGGTTCCAGCCTGTGAGAAGAAAGTCCTCGTTCGTTCCCAGGGTGTGGATTTATATTAACACAAACCACCGAACCCCTCCTAAACTCTCAGAGAACAGAGTACGCTTTAATGAAAGAATCTGAAAGAGCCATTAAGGTGCATCTTGAAAAATAATTTCTTAAAATCAATAAAAGGCTAAATTAAAATGTAAAAGAAAGAAAGGAAGCCCTCGTGTACGAACTGTTAAGGTGGAGGGGGGCTGTGTCATTACAGTCGCAAACCCCACACCACTGCCAGAGTGGACCCCACGCACACTCCCACTCAGCACAGCCTTGCCAGCCATCAGGGCCACACTTCATGCGTCTTTCTACTCCTCAGTCCCCTCCTCCTGTCCCCAAGACCCGGAATGCTGCCCCGAGCTGCCAGGTGCTGGCCTACAGATGTCTGCAGTGTGTGTCAGCATGGGGTTCTCCATGCCTTTGCCTGTTTCCTCCGTCCCACCCTCACCTCGGGGAGGGACAGGTCTGGAATGGCAACAGGCATCAAAGCTATTTATGGGAAGTGATTAGCAGTAGCAACAGAGAGCTCGTCGTGGAACATGCTCTCTAAGCCTCTGAAGGCCCGAGGCACCCTGGGGGGCTGAGAAACTCTCCTGCCACAATCCCCGGAGGGACTGCTTGGACTCACTGGTTGGAGGCACCTGCAAGACACAAGCAGCTTCCCCACGACAAGGGTGGGAGAGTGGGAGACAGGCCCAGCCCAGGGTAGCTCAGTGGTTGAGCATCAACCAAGGGGTGGCTGGTTCAATTCTAGGTCAGGGCACAGGCCTGGGTTTCGGGTTCAATTCCCAACAGGGAGTGTGCGGGAGGCAGCCGATCGATGTTAATGTTTCTCTCTCATTGATGTTTCTATCCCTCTCTCCCTCTCCCTTCCTCTCTCTCTAAAAATAAATATATAAGTAAATAAGTGAGCGGGAGACGAAAGGAAAGGTATTTGTAGGTACCTTTCTAAGGCTGACTCAGTTCGGCCTGAAATGAACCCAAAAAGAAATGGAAGAAATATTTTGCAGCATGCTCTGCTCTCAAAAGGTGTTGTTGAACCCTGGCTGGTTGGGCTCAGCGGTTAGAGCATCGGCCTGCGGTCCAGAGAGACCCGGGTTCAGTTCCCGCTAAGGGCGCATACCTCGGTTGCAGTTTGTCCCTGGCCCTAGTTGGTCGTGTGGGTGGCAGCCACTCGAT